AGACGGAAAGTGCAGGACTCCCTCAGTTGTGTGCAGCGAAGAGCGTAGCGAGTCACACGACCCCTTAAGGTTATCATACCGTCAGAATCTCATACCGGCCCATGCCTAATTGTGATACTGTGGAAAATGAATCAATATATCTCATATCTTTCATTCTAAGTTGCGTGTTGATAGACTGATATAATGCTTGTCAGATTTTTGACATTGTCTGATAATCTGATCATTTTGACCGATCATGTTTAGTGATTTTAAAAAAAGGAAATATTCATAAAGGTTTTATTTCTGAAATTATTATTATTATTTGTTTTGTACATCTCATTTGGTCTCTTTAAATTGTACTATATATTTATATCCGCATCGGCCGTCCTGCTTTTTGGAAATTGGCAATTGCTGTGCCACTATTCTTAACCAGCTAGAGCAACAAGTGATAAGGAGCTAGACATTTTGATTGTCACTTGGTTTCTGTTTCTATAATGATTTTCTGGGTAGTTTCAGTGAAACCTCATTGATCCAAAATCCACATTAAGCCACTGTAATTTTCTCTCATTTTCATAATCATTGTGGATTATTTGTCACTAGAATATTGTTGCATTGCAATTAGTATGTGTAGTTAAATGTCTTGATCAAATGATAATTCATTGATCAGAGGTATAGCAACCAACCCAGATCAGCCACGAACTATTGTTACAGCGTGTTAGTTACGCGTTTAGAACCTCTTGCTGTTTGTTAGTAAAAAACGGCACACTTTTGCCAAAGGCATGACAGTAAATACTGGAGCCCGACCGATATGGGTTTTTTGGGGGCGATACCGATATTAGGGAGTAAAAAAAGGCTGATAATCGATATATATCGGCCGATATTCTTTATGTATATTATAGTACAGTACCAGTCAAAACATTTGACTGGTACTATATATATATTAGGGCTGTGCAATATATTGAAATGATAGAAATATCACAAATATACATATCGCAATATGCGTATCGCTACGGCTTGCAATATATGGGGCCATGAACAAAACACAAAGAGAAAATAACTCACTGCTCTTACCTAAATAACTTTTATAGCTTAAATAAGAATCAGTGCATATTGAATTCATAGAGTAAATACTAAGCAGTGAAGTGATTTACTCGCAGTGTAGAGGGTTGCTTTTTATTATTCAGTTCCTAAACTTATGTTAAAATGATTACACTAATGTTAAAATGACATTTTTATGTAATGTAAGAGTAAAACTACGGTTCACTTTCAGAAGTTGTTGTAGGGGTGCTTTCTTCTCACAAAAAGTGAAACATGTATGCTAGTTATATTAGAATTAGAATCAGAATGAGCTTTATTCACCACTTAAGTGTGCGCAAACACAAGGAATTTGTTGTGGTTTTACAGGAGCTCTTGATACATACATACATGCATACATACATACAAATAAACATATACAGTATATATGTATGACACAAGATAGTTATAGAACTTCACAGAACTGACTCCGCAACTGAGTAAAACTGTTTCATCTGAGCATGTGGCACTTTAAGCATTATCGTATCGCATATCGACTATCGCATTATTTAATGAGTAATCGCATATCACATTTTTCTTCAGTATCGCACAGCCCTAATGGAAATGTATAAAATTGATTGATTACAGTTATTTGTTTAGTGGTTGACCGATATATCGTCAAGGCCGATATATCGGCCGATATTTGGCATTTTTTAAATATCGGCATCGGCCGTAAGTTTTCCTGTTTGGCCGATGCGTTCGTGGCCAAACAGGAACTTTTATTTTGACGGCGCTGAGAACGGCAGCGCCTGAGCAAACAGTGCTCACATTCTCCCTCTTTTTCACTGTTGTCGTTAACAGTTCTGTCTATATGAATAGAAGTCTGTCTAATAATCAGGTTAAACAAAGTAATTAAAATGTATACAAAAAGTATCATAATGATTGCTTTTATATTAGGCCTATTAGTAATAGAAAGGCAAACATTGTAATACTTTCTTGTTTGCCGTCAGCATTCAGCAAATACGGATTTATATAATTTAAACAAATCTTTGAATGACTAATGAACATTTAATTTCACAAACCTTGCAAACTAAGTCGGATCCAGTTGTGAGTTCTTGTGAAGTGTGCATTTATCCTGCATGATCGGGTGTTGCGTGATGGTCGGTCCGTGCGAATTGAATGCAGACAGGAGGAGAGTTCAGCTTCACTGGAGACGCGCGATAGACAAACTTTAAACTCGTGATTTCAAATTATGCTGCGCTTTATGCATTTGCCCACTGCCATATTCATGTCATTTCCACTGTGTGCTGTATGTAAAATGAGTGTTACCTTGGCTTTATTTGAAAAAAATATGATTCCCAATGCTCACAAACTTCCCAGAATACTGAGTGCCCTGTTGGTTACAGTGTTTACTTTTTAAGTTTTGTAAAAAAAAATTTCTTATCGGCGGCATATTCGCCGATACCGATATATCGCGACAGGCTCATATCGGCAAAACGATATATCGGTCGGGTTCTAGTAAATACACATCCTAGTCAGGTGATTTCAACAGGGATGTGGAATCTGGAGATGCGTGTTTGATTAGAGAGCTCAGATATGCAATATTTTATCCAGTTGTTTCCATAGAAGTGAGGCAGCACCATTAGTGAAGGATTTTTGACAGGGATATAAGCAAATCACTTTGATCGAAATTTCCTTGACTGTTTTTCAGTTTCTCTCTCACCCATAGAAACAAATTGGATTGGATAACATTTTAAATGAGTGTTAACAACAATATTGTTGCTGAATAGGTTACTGTTGTATATTATTGCTACATAAATGGTCTGAGTAGACTGTTTAAGTGATATTGTGTGGTAATTATAAGCAATATTTTTTCCATTTTAGGGTGGATTTTTCATTTAAAAACCAAGTGATTTTATGACTGTTTCAGTATTTTGAATCCTGCTTTGGTACATCAGTTCTTTTATTTTAATTTTTGTGGGTTAACTGAACCGCACAGGCTCATTGTCTGTACAAGAGACTGGATTTAATGCAGTCCAAGTGAAAAGAGATATGTCTTTGTGTCTGATCTCCAGTGCTGGTAGTCATGAACTCAATGTGACTTTCATTGACCAATACAGAGTTCATTCATAAGCAGCATGCAGTAGCTGTATGGCCTTCAGTAGAATGTAGTAGTCTTTCTTTATCATACAATGATTTATAGTTTACCTGTTTTATATAGTTTACCTGTTTCTTATTGAGAACATTTGTGGACTCAAATAGATTTATTCATTCTTGTAAGAAAATGTAAGTGGGGTTTGCCTGTGCAAAACTTGCTACCATGATGCAAAGGAGTTCTTAGTGGTTGCTAGGGTCTTTTAGAATGTTCCGGGTGGTTGCTAGGTGGTTAATTACAAAACAATTTAACTTCCAATTCTTTATGATATTCTGGTCTTGGATAGACTGGTTCATGTAAAGAAAACTAAATTAAGGAGAACTGGTATTATTTTAACACATTTTAACAGCTCTTATTAATAATTGGGCTTAAATGTATCAAATTCAAAAGTGTTAATTTCCCTTGGCCATTTGGGATGGGGATCACATTCATCCTTGAGTTGAGTGCATCCTCTTAACACCTTTCACTAGAAACTCCTTACACATCTTCTCAACCACACAGTAAATCATATTTTGTGTGCTTCATAAAATAATACAAAAGTGGTAATTGATTCTCATTGCTAAAGTCGGTAGTCGTCCTGCAGTAGCCCCATACTTGTTGTTGATGTTTTGTGATTGTTCACTATTATTGCAGTCTATCAGATACAAACCTCGCTGCCAGGATCGGTCACAATAACAGGGTTAATGGCAAATTTGTGCTGTCATTCATGATTAAACCCACACTTATGTGGTGTTGGGTGATATGCTCCATAGGCATATTGTCCTATCGTCAGCCTGTGAGATCGCCGATACTCAATAATATCATGCTAATTTATTTAATTATTTGCTTACTTAGTCTCATAGCTAGAGAGTGAAAACAGCCTAATGGTAGTGTAATCTATTACCTTAATATATAAAATATTTTTAATATGACTGAATTTGTATTGAACATGATAGCAATTTAATAGAAACATTGTAAGTTACTAATTATAATGCTTACATTTCCTCAGTTATTCAAACAGCAGCTACAGAAAACGAGCAAAGAACATCATCACTGACTTCAGTTTAGTGCATGTTTATGCACTTTAAAAAAAAGTGAAGCTATCTACACTGTATGATGAATGAATCATTTATATTTACGTTGCACATACATCTGCACTTTGTTGTTTGATGATGAGAGAATTTGCGAGAGAGCAGAATTCAGTCAGCGCGTGCGAACTGGACAACAAAACACCGGTGTTTCAGCGATTGACTCATCTGAACGCCTCTGATTGGCCACTGCATTCATAAAGTCAGCGGAATCGTGTGTGATTGGTTATAACGAGCAACACTGTAAAAACGCGGAAAAAGAAATATGATGGAACAAATAAGCCCTAATATTAATTAGATATAGTATTTGTAGCCTAATAATAATAAAAAATAATAATAATCGTCTTGCTATCATCAAAGGCATCAGCCACAGGCGATGTTTCTGACTATCGTCGATACACAATACTATCGTCTATCGGCACAGCCCTAATGTGACAAGCCTTTTCTTTCTTGAACAGGTTTTTTGGTTTTTGCCAAATAAGCAAATAAGTGGACATGAAATATTGATGTATATAAATATTGAGTTATTTTATTATGCGAGGAAAACGGGTCACAGTGGCCAGTTTTTTTAGCTGAATCCCTGCAAGAAAGACTTTACTGCGATACACCATTAATCTGTCCTTCACACCTGCTCAGAGATGCCTCTGAACTTTTGACTTGTGTGAATGTGCTGTAACTGAAACTGCTGCAAATACCTTCAAGAAGATCAGGCCCTTATTGCACACCGTCGTGAAGTGATGGATTTGAACGTCTTCAATAATAACAAATTCTCTCTTTCTCCACAGCCAAACCATTCACCTCTAAAGTGAAACAGATGCGATTGCACAAAGAGGACTTCGAGATCCTGAAGGTCATTGGTCGAGGAGCTTTTGGTGAGGTAAGCATCTGTCTTGTGTTGAGACTGTGGTGAATAGCTGGATCTGAATTCCCATACTATCCATAGGGCTGGGTATCGAGTTGGATACTTTTTAGGCACCGACCGAAATGCCTCAATACCATCGAGTATCGAAAAACGTCTCGTCGTTCGGTACCAAATTTCGATACCTAAGGGGTTAATCTCATCAGTGAGCGTCAGTGAGCCAATAAGCCTGCAGCACTAGCCGGTGTGTTCGACTAGAAGAGGTGCGGCGCAGATCGATCAGTGTTTGACATCCGCGAGAGCGATTCGAAAGCGCATAATGCTCATCAGTAAATGAGTGGAAAAGCTATGCGTTTTAAAACGAACACGCATTAGTGTAAATGTAGCCTAACAGATGTGTAAACTGAAGACTATTTGAGCTTTATTAAAACTATTTGCACTGATTTATTGTGTTGGTTACATTTTGTTCCTTTTGTGCAGTGGCCCAGGAGAGGAGTCTTTGAGTTTGTATAAACATCAACAAGCTGAAAAATAAAACCAAAGTTTTTTTTTTTAGATAATGCAATCTTGTTCAAATTGATTTCATAAAATTGGTATCGAAAAAAGTATAATTCAGGAACCGGTATCGAAGTCAAGGTATCGGTATCGATATCGAAAATTTTTGAACGATACCCAGCCCTAACTACCCATATATAGCACTCAAAATGTTCTCATAAGTTTGCTTTTTTTATTAAGAAACCTTTGTGGAATAAACAACTTTGGTATTATGTTAGGTTGCTGTTTGATGTCTAAAATGTCTTAAAATAGTTTTTTTGTATGTAGTTTAGAACTTTCCAGTGTTTTTACCAGTGAAGTACATACTCGACAAAATGTAGAAGTGTGTGAGTTGAGATGCAGCCAATTAGTCGTTTAAGTGCCAGAGAAGTGGTCAGGACCCTTGTGGTGCCATCGTTGTTTTTTGGCCAAAGAGTTCATTCACGACCCAAAGGCATGCCAAGTTATTTTACGTGTCATAAACTGAGTAAATTACAGTTTGTTACCCCATGAAAATGTCAAAGTGTTTAACCTGAGTTAACAGTTTAGCAGCCAAAGTCAACCTATTTTCACTCTTGCATATGTGACACCATCACCATCTGCAGAATGAGAGTTACACTGAGCAGATGCTGATAGGTGTCATGCTCTCTGAACGGAGCTCTTTGTAGCTGTCAAAGGGCCGTCTCTGTGTTAAGGTTGACCTGTCACCCCGGCCGACCTGTGCTGCCCTGATCCTGGTTTCATAGAGACCCTGACAGGAGCCAGGCTAGAGCGCATCGCTTAAATCTCTCAGAACATCTCTGGTTCTTCTCTGATCAGTGATTAATTGATGATTGACATGAATTTAATCATTTGAGAGTATTGATTGTTGATTAATCAATTTCATAGCTGTGACGCAGGCATGCATGCACTTTGTTTAAAGTTTAAGTTCAAATTTAAAAGTACAAATTCAGTTGTATTTTTTCCAAATTTTTTTCCGTTTTAATTTTTCTGGATTACATTTTTTTTCCCCCCGGATTCCATTTTAATGGTTAAATTAAATTTTAGCAAAGCATACTTTAAGTAATGAAACCTATACAATTTAATGATCCATTGAAATTTATTTTACAATAATATGGCCCTATAATATGTTTTATCTTATAAGAAATGTTTATGACTGAATTCCACGATTCCGTCAGTGTTTTCCACATTGTAGAAATCAGTGAATCAGACTAAATAACAAATGTTCTTGCTGTTCCTCTTTTCTCTGGTTTCATTGCCTTTTTCATTTGAATTGCTCGCTCTTGTCCACCTACACATCCCGTACAGTTGACAATGTTATGACAGAAGTTAAATGTCATTTTTGAGTAATAATTAGTTTTCCAAAGCTGTATTTTAAAGGTTGCATTGTGGGAGTTTGGCCCATGTAAGGCTGTGTGTTTTGAGGGCACAATGCCAGCGCTCTGAATGCTATTTTAAAAGTTGCTTTCCAGTCCCTGGGTCCTTTCGATCTGATATTTGCTTAAACTTTTAACACATACTCTAGCTTTTCTTAGCAACCATAAACTGAATTTTAAGGTCTGTGCCATTGGTTTATTTTAAGTCCCTATCAAGTGTATGGAAGAGAGAAGAGTGTGATTTCTGTCTGGAATGATGCTCGTATCCTGGCTCGGACTGGAATGTGCAGACCTCTCAATGCGTGCTTGTTTTGGCTTATTTAATCGTAGGGAGTGAATCACACCGTTGTTTCGCTTGGACACCTTAAGTTCAAGATAAATATATGCCCATTCCACTTTCCTTCCTTTCCTCATGATGCTTACACAAATGTCCGGACCAAACATCATTTTATTTGTCCATTATGTGCCATTTAGGTGAATGTGTTTGGATCAATGTTCCCTATAATTTGGTTTTTGCTCCGCAAAACCCATCATTATTACATTATTATATGTAATAATTATATATTATATATCTTATGTTTGAAATTAAATGTTAGAAATTATAAATTGTATATAAAAATATGTAATATATAATATAAAATATTTAAAATTATTTAATATATATTTATATTATATTTAATTATTTTAGTTTATAAAAAAGTAGTAAAAAAATAAAGTTATACAAAAATTTTAATTATAATAAAAGACGTTATCAAAAGTGGCTTGGGTCAGATTTCAAAGTCATATTTTGCCATTCAAAGTTTGATTGATTAAAATTGGATTTGGGCTGTCAGTGAAATTGTCACTGACTTGAGATCGAATTGCTGCCAGCTGATTGTGTTTTTACTTGTTGAGTTCTGAGTGTGTGTCTTTGTGAAGAATGCTTTCTTCCCCACAGTGTGAGTTATATTATGATTTCATAGCTCTGTGTGTGTGTGTGTGTGTACACCCGCAGTAACCTGACCTGCCCTTTAACTCAAGGTTTACACTCTACTGTCACTGATAACCACTTCCATGTGTGATCTGGTAATCTAGATGGAACAAAAGCAACACAAGGCGGCTTATCTCATTGGGACCTCTAGAAATCCCCTCGTGCTTTCTTAATGGTGAGCCGGGTGTCAGATCTCTGTGTGTTTTCCGGTGCATTACAGGTAGCAGTTGTAAAGGTGAAAAGTTCAGACAAGGTGTTTGCCATGAAGATCCTCAACAAGTGGGAGATGCTGAAAAGAGCAGAGGTACAAACATTCTCGAGTCTTTCCATCTCAAAATGAATTAGTTTGGTAAGGAAAACTTAGATTTGAGTGGCAAATGTAAATAAATGTGTCTTCTTGTTTCTAGACAGCTTGTTTCCGGGAGGAGCGGGACGTGCTGGTGAACGGGGACTGTCAGTGGATCACCAGACTGTACTATGCCTTTCAGGATGACAACTTCCTGGTAGGCTTCTGCCCTCTGAGTGCTTCCACATTAACAGTAGTATCTATCTATCTATCTATCTATCTATCTATCTATCTATCTGTCTATCTATCTGTCTATCTGTCTATCTATCTGTCTGTCTGTCTGTCTGTCTGTCTGTCTTTAGCTAGCTAGATATCATTCCATTTTATCGGTGGCTCTAGCTTTCAGCGTACAGTTGTAAGCCTGCACATTTCTTTTGTATCTGGTGTCTGTCTACTTTTACATGGTTCAGTTCTGACATGTCTGTCTTCTGCAGTACCTGGTGATGGATTACTACGTGGGTGGTGACCTCTTGACTCTTCTCAGCAAGTTTGAGGACCGTTTGCCAGAGGACATGGCCAGATTCTACCTGGCTGAGATGGTTCTGGCGATTGATTCTGTGCATCAGCTCCACTATGTCCACAGGTGAGATCATTGTTCTCGTGAACCGGCCTGGTTTTTCTTGTCCTTCTCTCTCTTTTTTTTTGTTTCTGCTGCACGACATTGTGACATTTGGAGCAAATTGCATGGAAATGATTTGTGTGTGCTGGTCTGTGGGAATGTGAATTCTTTTGGGAACACAGGAAGTGACCAAATTGTTCTGATTTCAACAATCACAGAGCACATTTCAGTGCTGCCTTTGCTTGCTAAGTTGCTATTGCGTTCTATACATGGAGCGCACTTCCAGGGATAACGCTCGGAGGCTCCTGGCCTCTCAGATGTGGCTCCAGTGGAATTGATTTATTCTGGTCTTACTAATTGCAGGCTGCCGCTGCGGAGCCCAGCAGAGGTCCGTACATACAGTATGAGCTCTGAGAACTCAAATAAAGACTATAATTACAGGTTTAGTAGCCACCCCGGCCGTGAGAGATATGTTTTGGACAATTTAAAAGGGGTATGATACTGTGGGCAACTCCCTTCCAAAGAAGGGAAAATAGACTAGTTCTATTTTTACCCACGTTTAAGTGCGTTGTCCAGTTTTGGACTGATTTACGCAAGCTTGAAATGAATCGTTACATAACCTCATCCATAGTAAAACACCAAGCTAAACTTTAGGTGCTGAGTAGACCAGATTGACAAAGGGGCGGGCCTTCCATTGTTGTCATTTATGCGGGAAGTTGCCTATTTGTGTGCCAGGCTGTGAGTTTCCTGTCATTCTGTCCCCCATGCTGGATGCTTTTCAGTTCAGCAAGGCTGTTACATATCGTACAATTTCCTTTGCTGATGGTATTTTTACTCTCTCATGTGCTTGTTATTCACTATTAGAATATAAAGTGCATGTTTTTCCCCTGCAGCAGCGTGCTTGTGTTGATACGCTTCATCTGCATTCCTTCTGTCCATTTAAACCTGTTTGCGTTTGAGTGGTAGTCAGCGCTCACACCATATGTTCAGTGGTAAACTGTGACACATTTTGGCCAAGACAGCTGTTCCTCTTATCTTACATCTCTCTTATGTGAATGCACATGGCTGCGCTGGAGTTTTCATGGTTTGATTAGGAAGAATTTGTGTTTTTGGTTCCATATTTGGAGTTTTGTTAAATATCTTATCAACTGAAAAGAAGTCAACATAAAAGTGAAATTGACCCCATGTACTTTCTGAACACATGTTTCTGGTCTTATTGTGCACAATCATCTGTGCACATTTTTCCAAATACAAAATGCACTTTTCTTTGCAGTTTTTTAAATCTAAATATAACTGGCTTTCCTCTGAAATGATTGTCCTGTTTGACTGATGCAATAATACATTTTACTTTTTCTGCTCCTCCCATCAAAACACCTGTCACTTTTTACAATCTTTATAAGGATAAAATTAATTCCCACCCTACTTTTTTTTTACTTGAAAATAAGTCACTTTATAAAGTAAAATGTGTTCATGTTGATAGCATATCATAATTTACTTTTTCATAATAATTTCGACTGTATTTCTGACCATTTCAGCTGTTTGTTTTCCATAAAATTGTCTGTGAGGAGTGTTATAAATGCCAGATTGGTGTTTTATTTCAGAATAGGAAGGAATATGCTTTTTTATGATGTGCGCCCTTTAATAACTGTCTAAAACAACAGTTTTGAACTTTGACTAGATGTCCAGGAGGCTACAGTGTCTCCATCATGTTTCTTTATGATTTAAGATTATGCGGACTACTATAAATAGTTGACAATGTTTGATTAGCGCTTCTCTGATAGCACATTTTTATGGTGTCAGTGTCTAATTCAATGTGGATAAATTACATTAGGTAAACATGTCAGCTGTGTGGACGCTAGGGCTGGGTTGACAGTATCGATTTCTTAATTGTATGTTCAGCTCCAGTCGACTGGACTCCATGTCTGTAAGCTGAGCGCAGTGTTGACCGCTGCACCGACCTGTTCACCAGAGGTCAGCGCTTCAGCTCCCACATTACTTTCATTCCACATGCACACAGGTATGTGACACTCCCCGGACCAACCCTCTGAACACCAGCAGACCAGCAGTAACAATCTCCTGAATGCAGGGTATTTTGAGCTCCTCCCCTCAGCGTCTGGCTATTAGCGAGTCTGACCAGCGTCTGAGAGACATCTAACACTCATATTCCTCTGAGAGCCCAGCGGCGTGTCTGGGATTTTGACACCTCGTTGTCACTTCTGAGGCTCTGACAGTCACACCACTGCCGTCTGCAGTCTGGCTCGGCTCTGATCATGTAAACTCCAGTTGCTTCACTCTTATTGGCGGGCGATGCATTGATTTGCTGCTCAATTGAATAAAGTTAAACCTTTCATTATGTTGGCCACATTTACTCATGTTGCCTGAAATTCTCTCAACTAGCTGTCAGGTTACCTTATCACTGAACAGTTGATTTATTTTGCTGTGCCGTCATGGCTGTTTTGATTTGGACAAAGAATTCACAATCAGCTAAAACCAATAAGAAATGACATTTGAATTTACACAAGAGGGCCTTTCGCACCGCTTTAGTTCCAGAACTAAATGTACAGTACTAAAGTACTAGGACGATTTTGCGCGAACTATTTCCCAGTACCATTTAAAGGGTTGCATTCGCACCGACAGTGTGTACTAGGAAGTGACGTAAGCCGGTCGACAGCGACGTCATTTGTGC